TTTAGGAGAATAAGCAACCTTTTAAATTGTTAGGAGACTGAATTTGGCACAAACTTCATGTGGGAAAATTGGCTATGTGTATTAAAAATTTTTAAGTGGGCATAACATTTTGCCCCAACAATTTCCCTTCTGGAATATATTTGGATATGAGCAGTGACATAGCTACAAGGATGTTTTGTGAATAATCAGAAGATTGGTTAAATTAATTTTGTTATACAACAAATAATTGAAGACCATGCAGCCATTAAGCATAAAGTTGTAACAAGATATTGAATGATAGGAAACCATGTTTGCAATAGAGTAGTTTATAAAATAATAATAGCTACCATTTACAGTGATAATCACTCTGTTCAGTGCTTTACATACACGTTATCTCATTTAATCTCTGTAACTACCTTGAGAGATTGTTTCCCCTGATTACCAGTAATCACTTAAAGACTAAGTACAGTAAGTCCCCGACTTACGAATGAGTTCCGTTCTGGGAGAACGTTCCTAAGTTGGATTCGTTTGTAAGTCTGACAAAGTGAGTCTTATACACCTTTGACACAAATATGCAATGTAAAGCCAATGGTTGAACGATTCATGTTATAAGAACGAGCGATGTCTACCATCTTTTCGCCTCAGTCCAATCTTTCAATTATTTTCACTTTTGTTTCCATGGTTATTGCTTTGTACTTCCTAGCAGTCCCCTCCACATCACCACTGCTTTTCCTCTTGCTTCCAGACATCTTGGGCTCTGATTGAGCACTGTACTACTGTACACTATTGCACTGTACAGTAAGCACACAGCAACACAACTGTGACAATGTCCGGCAGACACGTGAGCTACTTCTGCGATTTGTTCGTATCTACGAATGTTCGTAATGCGAGGTCTGTTCATATCTGTGAAAGTTCGCAACTCAAGTGTTCGTAAGTTAGGGACTTACTGTAACTAGTTCAAATTCAAATCTCCAGGGTGTGGGAGAGCCAGGATTCAGACATAGAGTACCTCACTCCAGAGATGATGCCCTTCATCTCTGTGCTTTGTATATATACTCGTAAGCCCACTTTTGTTTTTTTTTTGTTTTTTGTTTTTTAAAGATTTTTATTGGGGAATTGGGGAATGGGAACAGCGCTGGGGAATTGGGGGAAGGGGAACAGACAAGTTGCTGTCGTTTTGTTCTTCAGTCTAGTTGTGGAGGACGTTGCTTCACTGGCCCAAGTTGGCACCATCATTGCGCTCTTCCTGGGCGAGGTAGATCAGTCGCCGGCTTCTGGATGGCCGCTCACGCTGGCTGCTGGCCACACACGGTAGCCCATGGCAACCCACTGCAGCAGGGGCTTGCAGCCTATGCCGTCGCTGGTGACTCACGGCAGCCCAGCTCTAGGTTGAGCTGTTGTTCAGCATCTTAGCTGTAGAGGACAGTGTCACTGGCCCTCATATGTGGGATCTGAACCGGGGCCTTCTGGCGTCCCAAGCCAGCTCTTAACCAACGCGCCACTCGGCCAGCCCCACTTTAGTTTTTTAAGAAAACATGTATGCATAGAAAAAGACTAAAAGCAGATGACATGTGGCTGATGGGTTACAGGCGACTTTTTTCTTGTTTGATATGCAATAAGAGAGAAAAAATATTTAGTTAAATGGAAAAGAAAAAGTGCCAGATTGAGAGCACATTCAGTGGGAGTCCCAATATCAGGTTCTATAAACACTGGGCAGAGAGGTCATTAGGTAGAGGGTGGAGGTCTGTGGTCCAAGAAAACCTGTGAGTCACCTGTTCATTCACCTAACTTTTGACCTGTGCAAATTAGTCCACTTTGGAAGGTCATCTTTAGGTTTCTTTCTCCCTAATATTCTGTGTCCTAAAGTACCCAAACACTAAAAGAGAAAACAAGGCATTTGAAAATAATTAGCCCAAAATAAAATGCTAACTTATAGTTACAATGACTCACTTCTTTACAAAGCAACGCGTTTGTGTAATGCTTGTGAATTTGTGAATTTGTTGTTGATGTAAAAAACGTCCGAACCTGTAAAGATTTGTCAAATGATGGTGATTGGCACCAATTCAACGCCAACAGAGGTCCCCAGTTTGGGATGCAGTGAAGAGGGAAACTTTTTCAGAGCAGACAGCTCAATTGTGATACAGCACATCTGTGAAAACAGTGTGGCTGTGGCTCAATTATGAAGCAGCATGGCTGTGAATGGGAAAAGCCTTAGTCGTATTGGTTGAAATACTATTCCAGGAACTCCTTTATAAGGGCTGGCTCAGATGACAGGAACACAATGAAGACAAGCAGTTCTGTGGAGGAGGCAGGCTTGTCTCTGAAGTGATGTTTGCATGAGAGACAGATATTTAGAAATATCTGCAAGGTTCTGAGTTAGCCACCAAGAGCCCTTCTCAGTATCTTCTTTCTCAGGGTCCACAGAACTTTCCTAAGAGTTTATTCTGGCTGAAACTGATGACAATTGGTGGAAAGCAAGATCTCAAAATGTCCCACAGAAGGACAGTTTTGCAGTTTCTTTTATGGATTTGAAATTAAGGAGGGAATTTAAGGAAGGTTACCTGAAGGTGGGAGAAAGCAAGGCAGGGATTGGATTACAGGATAGTTAAGATTATGTGCTCTCTCTCAGGGTGGTTACGCCTTCAAGGGGTATTACTTTTGGCATTTCAAAGGTGTATTAACATAGATGCACAAGAACAATGGATAGGGATTGCTTTAAATACCTTTCACTAAAGATGTTATTTATAGGCCTCAAGCATGACTTACCCACTACGAACTGCCCAGTTAGGAATTTATTAGAGCATCTTTTTTATTTTTATTTTTTGTCCACATTGTCAAACAGAATTTGATGGCAATGATCAGCTTGAGAAAGTACTAGGGTGAGGTTAGGTTCTAATATAACGTTAGCTAACAAACTGAGATCAATGTAAAAAAATAAAAAAATAAAATATTTAAAAATTAGACTAAAAACAAGGCAGAAAGTTTTTTGTTGTTCGTTTTAGTGGTTTTAGCCCTATTTTGAATGAAGATATGACTAAGTATTTTCATTTATTATTAATTTTTTGAGTTCTCTGATGTTTATTAGGATTTGATCATTGGTTAGACTTTTTCCAATACTCATTACATTGATTACTTCTCTCTCCTGTCATGTATCTTTTTATATTTTCATTTTACTGACTAAAAACAAACACTGATATTTTATCAATTTATTTTACTTTTAAACAGAATTCATTTTTTAATGTAAAAGTTGTATATCTGCATTATACCATATCAAATTTAGAAAATATAAGTAGAAGATAAAGTACTATAATGTTACTACTGAGAAAACAGCTGCCAGCTAAAATAGCTTGGTTTATTTTTTGGTTTATTTTTATTTTATATAACTGCAGAATACTATAGTCAACTTACTATCATTTTTTTTAATGTACTTTTTATCAATTTTATGTGTGTTTTCTCCATTTTTATAAGTCCCTTCTTGGAACTGTCTTCAGAGTTTGCTGGAAAATTTTTCGTCTTTAAAAGTTTTATTCATTAGAGGGTGTTTTTCAATTTTGCAAGCAGTTATTAAAAGCCAGCTTTGAAGAATTTCCCCCAACCTTGGCTTAAAATGACAAATGTATTTGTATGTGGGTTTTTAAGGGTCTTAAAAATGATTCAGAAATTTAATTCCCCCCAGCTCCCAAATTTCACCGAAGTGTTTGGGTACATAATAGATATATACTTTTAAACTCACTTAAAAGTATATAGTATGGTATTTGTTTTTTCATTCAGACTTTTGTAGTTTTTTACAAAATAGTGGACAAATTTTGGTTCTTTATATTAGTAGAGAATATATACACATCAAAATATATGTATAACACGTTATAAACACATAGCAAAATCAGTATTGCTTAAACAGCAACCATGTATTTCACATAATTAGGATTTCTCAAGAGGTAAACATTGCTTTTAGCTTGACTATGTACATAGTCTTTGATGCTTTAGTCAACCAGTATTTACAAAAGCAAGTCTAAAAACTATCATCACCTACAAAAGTGATGAGCTTTAGGATACGATTTTGTTGCCATGCTGTAATGCATAGTTAAAATTATATAAAGTATAGTATTTTATTTTTAATATTCTAAAAAATTATCCATTTTCTTATCTAGGCCTTCCAGATGAGTATTATTTTCAGTATGGGGTGAAGAATTGACAATAATTCCTAGTGTTGCTTTACACAATTTATCTGATAATATGATTTTTGTTTCTAAATGCAAACCAGGAACTAGATAGATGCAAGTACTAATTTCTGAGAATAGATGCAGCAGGTGGATTTTGGCATAGTCACAGGCACTCATAAAGCCTGATTACCACCAACCCTTTTCCTAAATCTGCACAATCACTTTCCAGCTTTTCCACACCATCAATGTTTTGCACAGAAGTGTTTAACTACAGGAGTGTGAAAAAATACTTTTAACTGTTCCCAGTAATATTTTCACTCAAAAAGTATTCTTTGCACTCCTCTCTCCCCATAGATTTAGTTCCTGATTTTATTGGCCCTGGGGCGCAGGAACCTAACTTCTCAGAAGCTCCTTCAGTAGAGACCGCCTACTTGTTATCGGTGGGCAACGTTCTAAACTGAAAAAAGTCGAGGCGTCAGCGTCCTCCGGTGCTTAAGAGCACAGGCTCCCGTTCGTGACCAAATCCATCAAGGCCGGACAAGGTATTGATCAGCAGGAGTAGCGTCCTGTGATTACCAGGACTAACTAATCGCTAACTGCCCATTTTGGAAGAGCCCCGGGGAAGGGAATTTTGAGGTTGTATTTGCGTGCCCGGGAATAGTCGTGTCCGTGACCTGGGCCAGCGGGCGGGTGGCGGCCGGGTGCCGTGCGGAACTCGGTACAAGCGCTACTAGGGTCGCGGGCTCAGCCCTGGCGATTATCGCACCAGGCAGGCGGCGACACGCCTTTCGCACTTTGGCTGGTACAGACCCCCGGAGAGCTGGGGCGTGGGGGAGGGACCATTGTCCTGAGCTCTCCCCGCCGCAGCCGGGGCTGTGCACTGGGAAGCCGGTGTCCAAGCTGCCTGCGCTCGCCTCCTCACCGCCAGCCGCTCCTATTTGCAGTCCGCGGCTCCAGACCGTGACTGCGACCCTGGGCCGGCGCCTTCCGAGGCTGTTCGCTGCACGTGTGAGAGCTGGGCTCGCGAGGAGGGGTGCGCTCCATACTGTAGAGGACGGCCCAGGAAGGTCGCCCTGGGGCCGGGCTTTGTTGTGCGCGGGCTGTGTCCTACGTCAGTTACACACTGAGTACCGAGCTCGCAGGAGGGGAGAGGGAGTCCTGGTCGATCTAACAGAGATTGGAAAGACGCAGGAAGGAGGCAGCCTGGAATGGAGCCGGGAAGAGTGTGGAAAAGCTTCACGATTTAGAAAGCACAGTACAGATGCTTGATGTCATTGTGAAGTAGAAGCTGCTTCCTTAGGGAATGTTCCGAAGGTTTGGCGGACTCAAATCAGTGTTTATATACGTGGTTATTAGTGCTCAGCCTCTGAGTGCACGGACCCTGAGATCCAAGCCTTTGAATCCCTGAGTGAGTAAATGCCCTTTGGAATGTGTGTGACTTGAAAGGTCGGTGGGTATGGCGTGTACATTTGGTAGAAAATAGAAAAGTGTTCCATTGAGATGACTAGGTTTTAATTAGTCCCTCCCAGTTTTACTTGAAAGTGAATATGAAATGCAAACTGAAAATTCAGACTGCTTTTTCAGAAAACGATGCCATGGTGCAACTGATTTTGTGTGTGCTAGTGTGTGTTAAGGGCCGGTTGGTGAAACTCTTGCCTTTCTCGAAATGTGTGAAAACTAAGAGTTGATATTGGATAGTTGCAAACTTATGGAGCATGGAAGTTACTACAAGGTGGGAGAAAAGTTTGTTAATATTATTAGTACTTTAAAAGGGATTAACCAATATATTTATTCCATCTTTTTCTTATTCTCAGGACATAGTTTGTCCACAACTTTGGATGGTTTGCTGAAGCGTTATGAGCTCCCTTTTGTAATTTTTTTGTGGATAGTTTAAATACTAACTTCAAAAAAGTAACCAGCTTATTACAATCCTGATTCAAAATAACACTGAAGGCATTAGAACAAAACAGAAAAACAGAAGATCAAAAAAGTTAGATTGCAGATCTAGCAGGTAAAAAATAAAAATCCTGTAATCTTGCCTAGTTTTATTTTCTTGCCTAATTGTAGACATGTAAAAGCTCATTCCACTTTCAGAAATAAAGTAGATTCATGGTAAAAAAATGTTTATTGGTCATCTTTGTTCCAGAACTCCGGCATTCAGCAAGAGCTCCCTTAGGAAAAACATTCTTTTACATCAAGGTGGTATCAAAATACACTTATACCCAAAATCTATTTCTGCCTTTATTTTACTAAGCATCCATGAAGAAGTTTAGGCAAATGTAAGTGTTACAAACGGAAGATAAAATGCAAACAAGAGTCGAGTTACTGAGCAGGAGCATATTAGAATGGACATAGACCAACCAGAGGACCCTATATGCTAATTAAGTTGCATCCTCCAGGCATGAGGCACAATTCAATGAGGATAAAAAGGGGAAATATACCATCTCCTCCTAGAAGCTTTTCCTGGCATTTACTTCTGAGGCAAATGTCTTGTGTCACAGAAGGATGTAGAGGAGACTGAACCATGGCAGTGGGAGAGCATCCTGTGTGCCCATCTGATAGTACATGCAATGGTGCGTTTTCTAGGACTGCTTGCTGTAGTTGTAGTTTTCCTTACTCTAAGTGTCATGAAAAGCACTGGTTGGATGCTAAGACCCCATGGTCATGCATGCTGCTTTGTAATGGTTTGGGGCTTCTTTGGAGATAAATCTAGATTTTCTAGCGGGATAGGATCACCTCATATACTTCAAAATACTCTGTATTTCTCCCTGTCAAAAGTTTTTGATAGAAGTTTGGCACTCAGTCTCCCTTCTCATGATAGTACTACCCACACTATAGTTTTTTGAAGCACTGGGAGACTACTAGAAAGTGGATATTTAATTTTTGATCCACTTACTTAATTTATTTATAGAGATGGATAAAATATTCAGAGAATTGTAGCTTTGAAAGTTAGTAGTGTACTATTAAAGGGGGAGAAGGGAGGGTTGTAGATCAGTGTGTATAAAGCAAATTACTGCTCCCATCTTCATGTCAATGAATAAGTTTTTTTTTTTTTTTTAAGATTTTTATTGGGGAATTGGGGGAAGGGGAACAGTCAAGTTGCTGTTGTTTTGTTCTTCAGTCTAGTTGTGGAGGACGTTGCTTCACTGGCCCAAGTTGGCACCATCATTGCACTCTTCCTGGCCGAGGCAGATCAGTTGCTGGCTTCTGGATGGCTGCTCACTGCGGCTTGAGGGCCGCTCACGCTGGCTGCTGGCTACACATGGTAGCCCATGCAACCCACTGCCACAGGGGCTGCAGCCTACGCCATCGCCTGGCGCCTCATGGCAGCCCAGCTTCAGGTTGAGCTGTTGTTCAGCATCTTAGCTGTGGAGGGCAGTGTCACTGGCCCTCATATGTGGGATCCGAACCGGGGCCCTCTGGCGTCCCAAGCCAGTTCTTAACCATTGCGCCACTCGGCCGGCCCAAGTTTTGTTTTTGACAAGAAGGGTAGAATAAAATATTAGTAAGGTTAGAAGCCCTGTTGAACAGGGTTTGTGCACTTTGGTGATCACTAGCTCAATTCTTTTGGGCTAGTTCTTAGGCCTAGGCAGCATTAGGTAGCTGTCATATCATTGGCATTAAGTTCTTTGTTATCTGGAAGGGTAAAAGATGGAAGCCTCTAGAAAGCAGCAAGCCTGATGAACTCCCTCTGAAGCCACTTGATGTGAGTGTCTTAAAAGGAAAGAGGAAAGCCTGCCTGAGGGGTACCCAAATTTTGGATACCCTCACGCAGGAGGTCTACCCACACTGCTTCCTGCCCTACACAGCCAGACCCTGGCCTTACTCTGACCCCAGGGGTCAGGGAGAGAAGGGATAGAAAGTAGAGGGACAATAGAATCATTAAAAAGCAGAGGGTAAAACATGTATCTTATCCCTTTTCCTTAACCAGCCCATATTAGTTAGGAATACCTTGAGACAAAATTAGTAAATCCTCAGAAAAATAAAAGGAAGTGGCCATTAAGAAGAGGGGGCTGTGGGGTTGGTTGAGTGCTTACTGTGTGCAGGTATTTTTATATCCATTCTCACTTGATGCTCACACTAAACCTTCCAGGGCAGTTTAGTCTCCTATTTATGGAGGAGGAGGCTGAGAGTTCACAGGGTCACTCACAGCTGGGCCAGAAAAAACACCATATTGCAGTTGATTAAAGTTCACCATACTTTTCTTACTTTTTTTTTTATCTAGCCTGCTAATTTGTTTCACATTTTTCTTACATGTTCATACAGCTGCTCATTGTAAAGGCATGTAAGGACAAGAACAGGACGTATGAGTTGACAGGGAGTAGAGAGGCCCAGACCTAACTTGGGTCTAATAAACTCTCATTTTTTCATTTTCTACCTTGGATGAAGTCATCTCTCTGGATCATAATTTCTACATGGGACCAGAGAACATAAGTTTGGATGGGAGGGATCTATATTTTATTGAAGTCGCCCAGAAGTAAAGTATGGGTCAGTTGCAAGTGTCAGCATAGTAGTATGGAATGTTAAGTGTACTGAGAACATTTAGAGCATTTAGTATTCTTATCTTCACTGGCAATGCAAAAGCCATTCCCAATATTACCCTATGATTAATAAATACTGTTCAAGCAATCTTATTACACAGGTGTTTAGCCAGTAGAGTCATCACCTAGGAGAAGCCTAAAGTCCCTGGATCTGGTCCTGGCCTGTCAATACTATTAATAGCTCATGGCATCTTCTGTAAAGTGGAATGACTCAGCCCTAGTTGTGAGGATCAGAAGAGACCAAATAGCTTAGTATTGTTTGGAAACTTTAAAACAGTACCTATATCTACCTCTCTTTCTAGATAAACAATGTATTACAGGTATAACTTCAATATGCAATCAATATAAAACTATTAATGAGATATTTTTCCTTTGTTTATTCATACTAAGTCTTTAAAATCTGGTATCTATCTACATGTACAGCACATCTTAATCAGTCTGTCCGCATCCCAAGTGCTCAGTAGTCACATGTGGCCAGTGGCTGCCTAATTGGGTAGCACAGGTCTAGTGGCATTAATTGCCACACTGATAGAAATTGCTTTGGATGATGCCTTTTTTATCCTAAAGATAATATGCTTGTACATATGCCTCTTGCTTTTAATAACGAATAACTTGTTCCTAATACCTAACTTATTAATCAATACAGAAGGAATCAAATTGCAGGAAATACAAAAATGTAGGAAATAATATTTACCATTATTTTAGTACACTTCTGGAGAACAGTTTACAAAACATGAGCTTCCTGCTCTTCCCTCTCAGTATGATATAGGCCCTAAATCTTGGTTTTTAGGAGGAGCTCACAACTTCATGTCATTTGAATTTCAGCCAATTATAAATATGCCAGAGTAACAAGAAAGATATGTTATTCTTCGATGTGTTATTCTTAACAATACTTTTCAGAATACTGTTGGGGAGGAACAAACTTTACCCTCACAGTTCTTCTGGCTGGTCTAATAATCAAATACACATGAGACAGAATAGCAAGAGATAACAACCAAGTGTTTAATACATATGTATGGAACTCCACATACATGAGAGAGTCAGAGAGGTTCAGAGATAGAAAGGGTGCATGAGGATATAAGACATCCTGAGCCAGGAATGAGGTAAGGTGCCTTGGGGGCTTCAAAAGGTCATTGCAGGATGATAAGAAGAGCAGAACTTTAGTAAATAGAAGTTCTTTCTGCCCTATGGATAGGTCAAAAGAAGTTATCTCTGATAATCTCTTATGGGCAAGGGTTCTAATTTAAATTCTAGGTATTTGAAAGGGAGGAGGAAGGAGTTTCTCTTGAGCCTGGTGATCAGTTGCCTTTAGCTGAAAACAATCTGCAAGCCAGAGGCACATTTTGGGCTGACTCTTTCTGCACTCCCACAGTATGGATAGCTGTGACTGGGTTGTAGAGATCTTAATGAAGTTTTTTGGGTTTTTTTTCCCCCCCAAAGATTCCGTTGGGGAATTGGGGGAGGGGAACAGTGCTGGGGAATTGAGGAAGGGGAACAGACAAGTTGCTGTCCTTTTGTTCTTCAGCCTAGTTGTGGAGGACGTCGTTTCGCTGGCCCATGTTGGTATTATCATTGCGCTCTTCCTGGCTGAGGTAGTCGCTTTCTGGCCCTTGGATGGCCGCTCACGGCAGCTCACGAAAGCTCATGCCCACTGCCGGCCAGTCCCACTGCAGCCTATGCCATCTCCTGCAACTCATGGCAGCCCAGCTCCAGGTGGAGCTGTTGTTCACCATCTTAGCTGTAGAGGGTGCAGCATCACTGGCCCTTGTGTGGGATCCGAACCGGGGCCCTACTGCTCAGAGCTGGCGTCCCAAGCCAACTCCTAACCAGCGTGCCACTCGGCCAGCCCTGAAGAAGTTTTTAAGAA